CTAGATGAGGGAAATAGCGGGGCAGTAGCGGTGCTGAGAGACCAGAAGGAGGTGCCAGCCTACAAGCCACAGTCCCACGGCCAGCAAGCAGGGTCTTCTGGTAAAACCCTCATAGCTCTCGTCAGCCCAGCCCCCCCCAGGGATCCCCAAACCAGAGGGGAAACAGACATGCCTGGGTGCAGGAGCAGCTGTGAAGTGTGAAGCTCGCTGCCTAGGAGGGCACAGCTACCCTGTCACTGGGGCAGCAGCCAGTGACATTAATGAAGTTAAAACTTCATGTGACCTCTGACTCCACTAACAGGAAAAGGCTGTGACCAAGGTGACGCAGCCCAGCAGCTGCATCGTTAGGGGCCGTGAGTAACCAGAAGCAGCCTGCATGACCATCCACGGGACAAGGTGAAGGAGGCGCCACATGTGAGCCCACAAGGCAGGGAAAGTGAGGTGCAGAGAGATGGGAAGGGGGCGGACAGAACCATGGAGAAGAATGCAGGGAGGGAATTGCAACAAGACCCAAGCGCTTTCACCTCCTGTGGTCTGGGGAGCATGGCCAGGTGCTGAGGGTGGGGGTGGCTGTCCTCACCCTGTGTTCCCGAGGCCCCAGCGAGTGAGGACTAGAGCTGCTGACTCGGTGGAGGAGCAGAGACCTCTGCACACAGCCCGTGAGCGCCCACTCCCAGGGCTGTGAGGGAGGCTCCTCTTCTGGCCTTACCTGATCTCAGCAAAGAGCACAACAGAGCAATGTCTTCTCAAGGACTTCCAGGTGTCCAGAAAAGGGCAACAGCTCGCAGGGAAAGTTGCTCGGGAAAAGGATGCAGAAGCTGCTGAGAATCTCCGAGGAGCAGGGAAGCACCTTGGGGACGCCTTTACAGATGGAGAAAAACCAGTCGGATCTGCCCAGCACTCTCCCTGATGCACGTGGAGAGGAACATGCATTCGCCCTCCTCGACAATGGCTGTAATGTCTTGGTGCGTGTGTGTGTGTGTGTGTGTATGTGTGCACATGTGTGCCTGTGTGTGTGTGTGTGTGTGTGTACACACCATACATGTTCTTGGTCCAGTAGAAGCATGGGAGGAAGAGCACAGGATGAATTTCTGTAACACATTACCGTAAGTTTGATAGCTTAAACAATAGGACTTTAGACAGCCCACAGGATGGGACAAAATATTTGCAAAGCATATATCTGGTGAGGGATTACTATCCAGAATATGTAAAGAGTGCCCACAATCCAACAACAAGAAGAAGCATATAACCCAATTCAACAACGGGCAAAGGCTCTGAATAGACATTTCTCCAAAGAAGATATAAAAATCGTGAATAAGCACATGAAACATCACTAATCAGTAGGGAAAATCAAATTAAAACCATCATGAGACACCAGTTCACACCTACACAATGGTATTATTTTTTTAAAAATAGACAATAACAAGTATTGGCAAGGATGTGGAAAAATTGGGACTCGTGTGCACACCGCTCATGGAGATGTAAAATGGTGCATCCACTGTGGAAACAGTCTGGCAGGGCCTCAAAAAGTGGAACATGGAATCACTATATGATCTAGTTGTTCCACTTTGGGGTTTATGCCCAAAAGACAGACTATAAATAAGCACTGGAGAAGGCCGAGAGACATGAAAACATGCTCAAAGACACTAATCATCCGAGAGATGCAAATCAAAACAACAATGAGGTACCATCTCACACCTGTCAGAATGGCTATCATCAACAAATCAACAAAGGACAAGTGCTGGCGAGGATGTGGAGAAAAAGGAACCCTTCTGCACTGCTGGTGGGAATACAGACTGGTACAGCCACTGTGGAAGACAGTGTGGAGTTTCCTCAAAAAGTTAAAAATGGAACTCCCATTTGACCCAGTGATCCCACTTCTAGGAATATATCCTAAGAAACCAGAAACACCAATCAGAAAGGATATATGCACCCCTATGTTCATAGCAGCA